TGAGTCCCAGTTAATCCACTTCCAATCCAGCTCTCTGCTATGGCCTGAGAAAGCAGTAGAAGATGGCCCAAGTGCTTGGGCCCCTGTACCCACGTGGGAGACCTGGAAGAAACTCCTGGCTCCTGGTTTCGGATTGGCGCAGCTCTGGCCCTTGCAGCCAATTTGGGAGTGAACCAGTGGATGGACGACCTCTCTCTCCCTCTCTGACTCTCCTTCTCTTTCTGTGTAACTCTGACATTCAAATAAATAAATAAATCTTTTTAAAAATCTTATAAATGATTTATTTCAATTTCTTTAACTGAACCAGGATCCAAATAAGACCATACATTGTGACTAGTCTCCTTTAATCTGTTTTTCTCTCTTCTTTTCTCTTACTTTCTTTTTTTTTCTCTCTCTCCTTCTCTCCCCATGTCTTACTCTCCTCCCTTTTAAGTTAGAAATTCTGGGAAGGAATAATTTCCCATAATGAGAAACTGAAGTTTACACAGTCTGCATTTTGTGGTGCCTGTCTCTGAATTTCCCAGAAATTGGTGATTGGATCCAGAAACTTCAGTTTTTCATTTCAGTGTAGTTATGAGTTCATGTTCTTGAGACTTTAGGGAAGACCTTAGTATTTTTGATGATTCCCCTGCATTCTGGAATAGCAAGATGTTCTTATTCAACCTGCACACTTCCTCTGCAGACCTGGAATCACCCTTTTCTCTAAGGAGCTCTCATTTCCTTCAGTGATGAATGGTATTTAGAAGCCATAATCTGGATGCAATGGGTGCTATTGAGCTGTCATGATTTCTAGGTCTTTTCTGTGGAAAGAGCTAAAATATATATATATATATATAATTTGAATTTGATATATGATGTATATATATTTTAGTTGTTTGTATGATATATTTAATGTAAATATAAATGTATAAATGTAAGGTTTTTGTTTATGTAAGTATGCATTTATACTTAGATCAAATATATTTATAATTATCTCAAATTCCACCATTTATACATACATATGTATAATTCAAATGAACTGCAGAATTTTTGCCTAACCTCATTGATTTTGCACCTGAAACTCCTTTTCCTTGTGGTATGTCCTCACTGGAGATGCTTTAAAGTTACATAAATGGGGTAAGATGCTAAGAGCTAGCACAGGCCCCAGCTCTCGTAATGGGCAGAAGTGAATCAGGCTGTCCAGCAGTGAGTGCCCCATTCCCATGTGCCTGGGAGCACGGGGCCGATCTCAGAGCCGAGGCAATGGTGTGGACCCTTCTCTCCCCAGCCTGCACATTTACAACGCTTACAAAATCAGAAATTCAAAGGGATAGGATAAAGATAAAATAACATGTACTTTTGAAAGAGCTAATATAGGGTAAAGTTGGAAGAAAACAAGGATAGGCCACATATTCCTTCATTAATGCTGTCAGCAGTGATGAACCAAGAGCTTAACGTGAGCCAGGGCCTGCTTTTATACCAAGGATGCATCTGTGGACAATGCAGACAAAACCTCTGTCACTGTGAAACGTACATTGTAGAAGGAAGGGGACAGGCAATAAATAATGACTAAAATAATTTTTAAACAATGTAGGATGTTGGACATTTCATGGAATTGGGACTGAGGCACAAAGAATGACAGAACACATGCATCTAATTTTTAACCTTCCTGAAAACTGCAATGAAGTGATTTTAGCTCATTCTCTCTCTCTCTCTCTCTCTCTCTCTCTCTCTCTATCTCTCTCTCTCCAACAAAATTCGCAGAATAAGGAGAGGGGTGGGCCTTTGGCATAGCAGTTAGGCTACCACTTGGGATGCCTACATCCCATATTGGATTCAAGCCTGGGCTCAAGTCGTGGCTCTGCTCTGACTCCAGCCTCCTGCTGATGCACATCCTAGGAGGCAACAGGTGATGGCTCAGGTACTTGGTCCTTGTCACCCACGTGGGAGACACAGATTGAGATCCAGGCTCTTGGCATCAACTTACTCCAGCCCTGGCTGTTGCAGGCATTGTGAAAGTGAACCAGGAAATGGAAGATTTATCTCCCCCTACCGCCTTTCTCTGTTTTTCAAATAAAATGAAAATAAATAATTTTTAAGACTAAGCAGAAGGCAGCAGAGATCTACAGTATAACAATTTGAAAGTGGGAGCGCAGATGCATAGTAGAAACTGCCACAGAAAATTGATAAAAGAGCCGAATCCCAAGACAGAAACTGGGAAGGCTGGTCACTAACTAGGTTTATAGCCCAGAGGGACTCACTGTCCTGGTTCCTCTAGGACCAGGGGTGAAGGGGTACTGTTAAAACAAGGAGCATGTGGGGAGAAATGTGTAAGAAACAGAGTCCCTACACCCTCCTCTTCCTCCCATGACATTAAACAACTACCCATTGTCCACTCCAAGAAAGGGTTTATTCTCTGGAGAGGGTGAAGTCGTAGCTCTCTGGACTGAGGCACAACAGGTACAGTCAAGAGCATGGGTGCTGTGTCTTCCCAGGGAGTAAAAAATCATCACCAAGGGCCCAGTGTTGTGTACCAGGTTAAGCCACCACTTGACACCAGCTTCCCATCTGAGCACCAGTTGCAGTCCTAGCTGATCTACTTCTTTAAAAAACAAACAAACAAACAAAAACAAAAACAAAAAACACGGGCCGGCGCCGTGGCTCACTTGGTTAATCCTCCGCCTTGCGGCACCGGCATCCCATGTGGGCGCCGGGTTCTAGTCCCAGTTGCTCCTCTTCCAGTCCAGCTCTCTGCTGTGGCCCAGGAAGGCAGTGGAGGATGGCCCAGGTGCTTGGGCCCTGCACCCCATGGGAGACCAGGAGGAAGCACCTGGCTCCTGGCTTCAGATCAGCGCAGCGCACTGGCTGTAGCGGCCATTTGGGGGGTGAACCAACAGAAGGAAGACCTTTCTCTCTGTCTCTCTCTCTCACTGTCTAACTCTGCCTGTCAAAAAAAAAAAAAAGTGTACATTGGTACATCTATAGATGGTAAACTTATGCAGGAAATCCAGAGAACACATATTAATTGTCTACAACAAATGGCCCAACATTAGCTGTTTAAATAAAACAGCACCCAATTGTTACCTAGCAGCTTTGTAAGTGAGAACCTGGTGAGCTAGGCCGGGTACCTGGGAACTGCTCCCAGGCTCGCTCAGGTTGTTGGTGGAATTCAGCTCCTCCTGCTCTTTGGATCGTACTCCCAGTTTCCATGCTGCCTAACAGCCAGGGTCATTCTCAGCTCCCGGCATCTCTCGCGCCTGAATTCAGAGACGGCACACACCATCCTTCCGACGCCCTGAATCTGACTCTCCTGCTGCTACAGGCCGAAGAAGCCACTCTGCTCCTATGGGGTTCACCTGGGTCCAGTCCGGCCCACCTGGACAGTCTCTAATCATAAGGCTAACTGACCGGGGCTTTAGTTGCATTGACAAAGCTCTTCACAGCTGTATCAGAAAGTGTTTGATCTAGAAAATGGAAATTGATTATTAAGAGTCTGCATAGCATAGAATGATTTCCACAAAAGTCAGAAAAGCGGTTACCTCTAAAGAAGAAAAGAAGGGAATAGAACTGGGGAGGGAAGAGAGGGTCCCCTAAGCTACTGGGCCAAATAATTCTTATTTATTTATTTGTTTATTTAGACAGGCAGAGTGGACAGTGAGAGAGAGAGAGAGAGAGAGAAAGGTCTTCCTTTGCCGTTGGTTCACCCTCCAATGGCCGCCACGGCCGGCGCACCGCACTGATCCGATGGCAGGAGCCAGGTGCTTATCCTGGTCTCCCATGGGGTACAGGGCCCAAGCACTTGGGCCATCCTCCACTGCACTCCCTGGCCACAGCAGAGAGCTGGCCTGGAAGAGGGGCAACCGGGACAGAATCCGGCGCCCCGACCGGGACTAGAACCCGGTGTGCCGACGCCACAAGGCGGAGGATTAGCCTAGTGAGCCGTGGTGCCGGCCCACTGTAATTCTTAATCTGAGTAAGAAACGCATGGTGTGTATTTTCCTCAAGCAGTACATATATGCTTTTTATACTCTTGTGTATGTATAATGTATTTCATAGAAATAAAATTCAATGCAAGATGATAATGATTTACAATCATGAATGTGATATACATTTGATTCTAAGGTTTCTAGAAGCCAATATACAAGGCAGGTATGTTTCATTTATGGAAGAGGTAGGGAGACTCACTCAGGTTTTGTTCTTAATACCGGGAAAGAGTGTGGCTCTTTTTAAAGGCCTGAGGGTAGACTCTATTTGGTGGAATAAAAGGGGGCTTCGACCTTGCTTGCTGCTATTTAGTCCTGATCCTGAATTTGAAAATGGCCAAAGGTACTGAGCTATAAGGATTTGTCCTGTGCAGTGGGTTTCATATTCTCCATGTCCACCATGGGCTCAGAGGAGAGCGCCCATTGACCAGGACTTCTAGATGGGCCTGGGTGACCCAGGCTCTCTCATGCTCTCCAACAGCTCATCAGAGTGGCCAAAAAGAGAGGGAAGGGGGGAAGAAGGTATTTCTGAAGGGACTTCAGAATAATTGGATCTTAGGGACATAATCCCAGATGTATAAAAAGTTTCTGAACTTTGTCACTTCAATTTCTAAACTTTAAATCACTTCAGGGACTAAAATAATCCCAGTAGCAAAGCGGGATTTAAATGGCTTTGTGCGTACGAAGGATGGGCCTTTGTGGCTTTAACCAAACACAGATCAAGACAAGGAAGCTTCCACTTATTGCAGGTGAATGGCTACTGCTCTCCAACCATATTGGCTACTCTTTGTTTGTTTGTTTTGGCTTCTGGATGATTCCCAGCCATTAGAGAAGTGAATTTCTTTATCAACACGTTTATCACAAAGAGAGCACTTTTAAAAGACAACACCAAGTCTTGTGGGCCCAGCTTCACAGCCAGTAGCACAAGGGGGTCTTGAAGGTAAAATTTTGACTCATCCCAGAGGTATTGGAAGTTTGGAGGAAGAGAACACTGGACTTGACCTTCTGAGTTCCCGGAAGTGTCAGAGAAGATGCACCATGGATGGGACAAACAGGATCTCCCCCATAGTGGGGTTTGTCCTGCTGGGCCTCTCAGCCCACCCAGCGCTGGAGAAGACGTTCTTCGTGCTCATCCTGTCCACGTACCTGGTAATCCTGCTGGGCAACGGGGTCCTCCTCCTGGTGACCGCCCTGGACACCCGCCTGCACACGCCCATGTACTTCTTCCTGGGCCTTTTCCCTCCTGGACGTGTGCTACACCACCTCCTCGGTCCCCCTCATTCTCGACAGCTTCCTGACCCCCAAGAAAACCATCCCCTTCTCTGCCTGCTCTGCACAGATGCTTCTCCCCTTTGCCACGGGAGCCACAGGGTGTGTGCTCTTGGGCATGATGCCGTTTGATCACTACGTGGCCATCTGCCACCCCCTTAGGTACCCCGTGGTCATGAGCAAGGCTGCCTACGTGCCCATGGCTGCCAGCTCCTGGGTGGCTGGTAGAGCCAACTCCTTGGTCCAGGTCTCTCTTGCGGTACAATTACCCTTCTGTGGGGACAACGTCATCAACCACTTCACCTGTGAGATCCTGGCTGTGCTGAAGTTGGCCTGTGCTGACATCTCCATCAACGTGGTCAGCATGGCAGTGGCCAACGTGATCTTCCTTGCTGTCCCTGTCCTGTTCATCTTTGTCTCCCATATCTTCATCCTCACCACCATCCTGAGGATCCCGTCAGCTGAGGGCAGGAAAAAGGCCTTCTCCACCTGCTCTGCCCACCTCACAGTGGTGGTCGTCTTCTATGGGACCATCCTCTTCATGTACGGGAAGCCCAAGTCCAAGGACCCCCTGGGGGCAGACAAGCAGGACCTTGCAGACAAACTCATCTCCCTCTTCTACCAACTTCTGACCCTCATGCTGAACGCTGTCATCTGCAGCCTCAGGAACAAGGATGTGAAGGCCGCGGCGGGGACCCTGGTGAGTGAGCAGAGCGTTGCCGAGCAATGGTGGAGGTGTCCCGGTGGTTCTGTGCCCCCTGACCGCTCCCACAGGAGGGATGGGGTCACCAGACGAGGGCCACCTTCATCCAAGCTTAGCTCTCTAAATGCCACTGCACAGAAGGGCTCTGTGTGCATAGGCAGGCTTTCCTGGAACTTTCCCTGCTTCATTCTGTGAGCCGTTCCACAAATGCAGAGTCCCCTGGCCTCCTAGTTCTCACTCGTTGTCATGAGTACCCACCACACTGAGGTCAAAGACAGGTGAGCCATCACATTTTTATTTTTTGGCCAATAAAAATCTCTAGTATTTAGATCTTTTGTTCAAATGATCTTTAACTTCTTTCTTTTATTTATTTGAAAGCGAGAGTTACAGAGCGAGGTAGAGACAGAGAAAGAGGTTTTCTGTCTGCTGGTCCACTCCTCAGATGGCCGCAATGGCAGGAGCTGGGCAGATCCGACGCCAGGAGCCAGGAGCTTCTTCCGGGTTTCCCACATGGGTGCAGGGGCCTAAGGACTTGGGCCATCTTCTACTGCTTTCCCAGGCCATGGCAGAGAGCTGGATCAGAAGAGGAATAGCTGGTATTAGAACCGGTGCCCATATGGGAAGACGGCGCTTCTGGCCAGGGCTTTAACCTGCTGTGCCACAGTGCCAGTCCCCTTTAACTTCTTTCTTTGAATATATTTGAGCATGTCCTTACTCTTTTTTAAAAAAAGATTTATTTGGGGCTGGCACTGTGGCAGCCACCACCTACAGTGCCAGCATCCCATATGGGTGCTGGTTCGAGTCTTGGCTGCTCCATTTCTGATCCAGCTCTCTGCTACAGCCTGGGAAAGCAACAGAAGATGACTCAAGTCCTTGAGTCCCTGCACCTGCATGGGAGAACCAGGAGAAGCTCTTGGCTTCTGGCTTTGGATTGGAGCAGCTCCAGCCATTACAGTCATCTGGGGAGTGAACCAACAGATAGAAGACCTCTCTCTGTCTCTCTGCCTCTGTCTCTCTGTAACTCTGCCTCTCAAATAAATAAATTAATCTTTTATTTATTTGTTTAAGATTTATTTATTTATTTGAGAAAGTTACAGACAGAGAGGTTTTCCATCTGCTGGTTCACTCCCCAAATGGCCACAATGGCTGGAGCTGGGCTGATCCAAAGCCAGAAGCTTCTTCTGGGTCTCCCACATGAGTGCAGGGGCCCAAGGACTTGGGCCATCTTCCACTGCTTTCCCAGGCCATAGCAGAGAGCTGGATTGGAAGTGGAGAAGCCAGGACTCAAACTGGTGCCCATATGGGATACCTGGGCTGCAGGTGAAGGCTTAACCTGCCACGCCACAGCCCTGGCCTGGGCCTGACTCTTATGCGTCTTTATATTCCATATTATACTGTGCCTTGAGAATAAGTACCATATAAAATAGTACCTGGTAATATTTTTCTTTCTCCTTAGCTATTTATTGTAAAATGCATGATTCAGAAATGTTTTGTGGAGGTCGGCGCCGTGGCGCAGTAGGTTAATCCTCCGCCTGCAGCACTGGCATCTCATATGGGCGCCAGTTCAAGTCCCTACAGCTCCTCTTCTAATCCAGTTCTCTGCTATGGCTGGGAAAGCAGTAGAAGATGGCCCAAGTCCTTGGGCCCCTGCACCCACATGGAAGACTGAGAAGAAGCTCCTGGCTCCTGGCTTTGAATCGGCGCAGCTCCAGCCATTGCAGCCATCTGGGGAGTGAACCAACAGAAGGAAGACCTTTCTCTGTCTCTTCCTCTCACTGTAACTCTACCTCTCAAATAAATAAATAAAATCTTTTTTTAAAAAAGGAAAGTAATGCTTTCTGAATTATTCTTTCCCTATGTCTGCATAATTAACCTCTTTCTCTTGTCCTCAATCAAGGTCCTCACTAGAAAGTCCTTCTTACCCTGGATGCAGATGAGGGGTTTGAGCAAGGAGTTGAAAAAATGATGCCAGGATCAAAGACTCCAGCCTTTTTTCTTTTCCTTGTTTGAAGATGTTACTCATCCCTAAGCTCTGTCCCAACACAGCAGTGGCCTCCCAGAGGTCGTTGGAATAACGTGGAACAGATGTATTGGGGTAGTGAATGGTTGGACTATGCACACAACTGAGTCACAGCACCACTTGATTTTCCATCCAAGAATCTCTAAAGCCACACAGTGGTCAGGGGACGATGTAGGGGTGCCCCCCAGGGGACAGTTAAGGATCCCCGGTGAGGGAGTCCACACTGGCTCCCCACAGTGATTAATCCAGAGGCCTGGATGAAAGAATGAACTGAAAAGAAAATCACTGCCACAAACCAAAAGAGAACAATCACACCCGCGGTCCTTGCTGAAAGAGAGCATGCGCACGGGTGGAGGGAACGCTGTGTTTCCAGAGTTCTCAGTAGCATGTGCAGTGGAGTCGGGACGCCGAGACTCAAGAGCAGCGTGGAAGAGAGTCTGGGAGAAACGATGACCAGAAGACAAGACATGTCACTGGAAATAAAGAGAAAACACCAATTATCAAAGCGGAGTCGACAGCAAACCATAGAAAGACAGAGAGAACAGACAACACAAAAAGGAATTTCTTTTCACCTGAGGGCACCTTAAGTTGTCTGCCTAGACTTCCGAGGAAAAAATACAGAGATTAAAATTATTTGCAAAAACATAGGAGGCACGAAAGAATGAGGGATTCCCTAATAGAGCCATCCTGGAATTTAACAAAGGAAGAACGGAGTTCATGGAAGACAAATATTAACCAAATAGAAAAACAAAACTTCCCTGGGACAGCAATACTTCTAGATCTTTGGACAAAGTGTGCACATTGCCAGCTAAGAATTGTGGTAAAAGATACAAAGATAAGCTTTGATTTGCATGGACACCAAAATATGCTAAATACCTTTCCACAGAGGGAAGGCAGATGATCTAACAAGGAGCGAGTATCCAATGGCCAGTGGCCTTCTGCTCTGCGGTGCCAACTGTAGGAGTCCCTACAGTGTATGCATACGGTGTGTGCAGTTTGCAGGTAAGCGAGGTGTGAGTCTAAGGTTCCACCCACAGCTGACCATTGCACAGCTCTGAGGATTAGAGAGACAATCCGCCATCATCAGAAAACATACACCCCTCCATTATTCTGAAAAAAGGGAGCTCCTGCACAAACATTAAAAAGCAAATGATTGAAAGCACATGACAGGCGTGGTAGACAAGAAGCGCGCAGAACCGTGAAATGCAAGAAGCAAAAAGACCAAGCAAATCTAATTCGTTCTCGATGTCGAAGCTGCAGTCACCTTGCTCGGAAGGCAGCTCTGAGTTTCTCTAGCTGCTTATCTGTCCCTAGAAGCCACCAGAAGGTCAAGCAGAAGACTACCGACTACCAGCTGCGGATCTACCTGTGTGGATCCTTTCAGGGTGACCTTGCCATCGGGGTACAGCTTCAAGCACAATGTGAAACCTTACGGGTTTTTATTACTTGTAGATCCCAAGACAACAGTCCTCCTTCGTAGGTCTCATGTAGTAAAGAGCAACGCTGGGCACACAGGAAACAATGCCCCCTGTTGAAGGGGGTTTTAAACAATTCTGGTGGCAACAGCAGTTTAGCAGTCTGGTGAGAAGCTGGGGTTCCAGGCCTAGAGAGCAATCAGCCAGTGTCTCCCCATCACTCCTGAGACACACGGAGAAGGCAGCAAGGACCGGAAAACCGTGTTGTGATTCCAGCTGCAGTTCCGGATGGCTTCCCCAAGCTTGGAGGTGGGGAAAGAGATGTAAAATTACAATCCACTGTGGCCAATTCTTAGGAAGGCTGTGGTGGGAGGGAGTCCTTGTAATTCATGACATTGATACTCGAATGCAGCAAAAGTCTTCATGTGCTGCTTGAAAGTTCAAGGGCAAATACCAGAAGACGAGTATTAGGATGAAGGCTTTTCAAAGAATTAGAGGATTCTAGAAGATCAAGGAAAACCAATCAGATGAAAAAAAGTCATCTGAGCTGATTAAAATCAGTATATATCAAACAAATGATACAAACAAATGATTGGCATTACCCAGTAGTATTTTTTAAAGGAATTTCACCTTTTTAAAAAAAGATCTATTTACTTGAAAGGCAGAATTACAGAGAGAGGCAGAGACAGAAAGAGAAGTCTTCCATCCACTGGTTTCCTCCCCAGATGGCTGCCACAGCCAGAGTTGAGCTGTTCCAAAGCCAGGAGCCAGGAGCTTCTTCTCCCATGTGGGTGCAGGGGCCCAAGCACTTGGGCCATCTTCTACTGCTTTTCCAGGCCATCAGCAGGGAGCTGGATCAGAAGTGGAGCTGCTGGGACTTGAACCAGTGCCCATATGAGATGCCAGCGCTGCAGGTGGAGGCTTAGCCTACTATGCCACAGCGCCGGCCCCTTCACTGCTTCTAACACTCCGAACATTGGCGAATTTATTATCATAATCGATGTTATTAATAAAGCAGAAAGGCCAGCACATCAACAAATGTTGAGGAGCCCTTTGGTAAAACTGACGGCCAGACTGGGATGACCCATGCTGCATCCACCTCCGAATCCCTAGGTTGGGACCGTGCTGTGTGTTGGGGACAAAGGTCCCAGCCTAAGGCTTGGAGGCAAACACAGAGCTTTGCTGATCAAATGGTCTCAGAAGCAAAGAAAATCAGACTGCAGCCCAGCCCTTGTTTGTGGAGAAGTCTGGAGTTAGAAGAGAGCGCTGTCGGAGTCTTCCAGTCTCTGAGCGCGGGCTGATTAACTTCCCACCTGACTACTGCCAATGACCGTTATCTCGATGTAGGGCAACCTCTAAATTCCTTCAGATTAGAGACTCTAATGGAGGTGATCACAAAACATGGTCTGCACCACGGATCGACACGGACAGCACGTGGAGAGCGCAGTCGGGGGGCGGGCAGCGCAGAGCCGGGTGAACTGCTGGCAAGCTAGCTCCAGGTGAGGAAGCAGAGTGGGCAGGCAGCCCTGGCTCAGCCAACCTCCCCAGCTGCAGGGCAGCAGTGCAGGGATCAGCTGTTCTGGGCTTACCTCCCATGGCTCCCAAGTTGAGCTGAGTGTACCCCAGAATTCCTTAAGGATATAAAGACAGGTCCTATGAGGACCAAAGATGTGTGTCTGCCCCTTCGGCTGTGGGTTGTTGATTTGCAACCTCGACTTACGTAGGCGCACGTAGGTCAGAGTGTTGCTGCGACTCCCGAG